TCGTACTTTTTTCGTTTCGACATTGGTGTGGCGAGGCCCTATGTATGTACGTATGTGTATGTATGTATGTATGTATGTATGTATGTATGTATGTATGTATGTATGTATGTATGTATATATGTGTGCGCAGGTTTGTGTTTGTGTATTATTTATTATATACTAAGATGCATATATCAGCGATTTCATTACTCCGTGGCACACACATTAACAAAAATATTGGCCACGGATGTCAAGCTTTTTAAGCGTTGTGAGACTTGGTGGATAGAGACATGAACGGCCGGCCATATTCAACGATGTGCTGTTCTGGTCCGTTCTCTGTGCTTTTCAGCCCAGCTTTATTTTCAGCAATTTGGTAGATAATGCATGATTGCGAAGCACACCATGAAAGGAAAGTTTGCGGAACAGGGGGAGTTATAAGAAAGAAGATAAAAAAAACTGAATTCATTTTTTCCTGTTTTTCTTTCTCCTTTTTTTTTTTCCGCATTTGCGCTCTGATATTGTTGTGACCATATTTATATACTCGCCCTTTGGTACGGGGGTTTGCGTAGGAAGGTTGCGCCCCCCCACTGTGTAAGAGACATGCCCGAGCATATGACCTCACGTAAATCACTGTGAAGTACCCTCTATACAAGTACTACTTGTTTGTCCCTTCCTTGTTCCTCTTTCCTTCCTGCGTACAATTATTACTTACAGTTTTACCCGTTACGCGTAGCGAATGCTCTTGGTTCAGGTACCCGAAACCAGGTAGTAGTATACTTATGAATTACGAATCAGTTAAGTTCTCCATGCACGCAAGTGGAAGGCAAGCCCGTGCAGTCATCCTCGCTTGCCAAATCCGAGACATTGGGCCTCAGTCCACTGCGCAACGTTCTAAATGTCTCTGGAGCTGGCAATGGTCCCAATACATTCAAGATGTTCGATCACTGACAGTCCGAATGCATCTGGCCCGCGGCAACGTCTATACACATGTAGACTGTTTACTAGTGGAGCGAGGCCCAATCTGATTAGTCGGAATCGATCCATGAGCCGATTGCTTGTCAAATCTACATTCCCGAGTAGAGTCAAATAACGACGACAATAGGGAGCATGGACGAGAGGATATTAACCAAAGATCAACGCACTGTCACACAGAGAGACAGAGAGACACACACACACAGAGAGAGAGAGAGAGAGAGAGAGAGAGAGAGAGAGAGAGAGAGAGAGAGAGAGAGGGGGGGGGGGGGGGGCAGGAGTTTACAACCTGGGGTCAAAGCCAGAGCAGCGTGCCGCGCGCCTCTCGAATATTATATAGACTAGCATATAGATGGACAGACACATGCAAACAAACAGACATGTATGTATATATATCTATAAAGATATATATATTGTCACATTGTGAATCAGAGCGCAATATATATATATATATATATATATATATATTGTCACATGAATATGAGATATGTATATACATACCTGGTATTGTGGAGGTAGATAACTAGATGAATACGTGGGAGATGTGCGGATTACGCACCGAGTGCTAGAATCTTGAGAGTCCATGACCAGCTAAAAATAGCCAGACATAGAGACACCACCAAATAGGGAGGAGATGGATATATGGCCGCGATCCCTTCCTGTGCCGACTATTAGCAGTGACGTAATCCTGCTCTGGCCATATCACGCGTTTTTCTTTGGTTCTTTTTTTTTACTATTTCGCGCCTTGCCATTCGCCGACCTGCTCAGAGTGCAAGAACAGCGACAGTTCAAGGAGCGCCGTCCTCCTCGCTCCCTGCTGCGAAGCTGAGCTCATTTATATTGACCTACAGACCAGACCTGAGCTTCGGAACACGGAGAGAAAAAGGGCTGGAAAGCGCTAACGCGACAAGCTGGCAAAATTGCAAGTGGGCGACGAGTACACAGGCAGACAAGCCGGCCGGCGAGCAGGGTGGGCGACAAAGAAGCCAGGTAGCAGATAGATGGGCGACAATCAATCACGCAGAGCGTCCAGCAGGCAGGTAACGCACTCGTTCGATAAGGGGGGGAAAAAAAAAAAAAAAAAAAAAAAGACAAGCCGCCACTGCTATATCAGTTCCTTCGTCATTATTAGCCGTTATCACCATCGCTGCTCATCAACGCCCGCGCAAAGACTGGGGCGAAAAACTCACCACATTCGACAGTGCCGATCGTGCGGACAAATTTTTATTTATTATTATTATTTATTTTTTTTGTATTTGTGCGCCTTTGTGTAATCGGATAAGGATAAAGCTCTGACATGCGATAGGAGAGGTGAGCAAATAAGAAGGAAGACGTGGAGAAGACACGCGTCAGACTCCTCGTGACAAGAGAACCAAAGAGAAAAGAACAGAGAAGAGAAAAAGAGAGGAAGAAGGAAGAGAAAAAAAAAAAAGGGGGGGAAGAGAGAGGAAGAGATACGGGAGAAGAAAGGATTAGACTTTAAAAAACAGAGAACTGAGGACGAAAAGAGAGTGAAGATTCAAAAAGAGAAGAAGAGAGTAGAGCTGAAAACAGAACGGACAGAAAGACAGCCATTCATTCTCCTGTCGAGTGGTATTGTACAGTCACGAGTTACTTCCAATTCACAACAAAAAAACTTCTGACAGGTGGTCATGACTGATATCTGACATTCTTTTCAGCGGCCTACCGGTAGCCGTCACACCCATCCAACGATCGAAAGAGACGACGGGGTATAGAAACCGCGACGTCCTCCGGGACATCGTTAAAAAATAAAGAAGGACAGAGAGTAGATCGACATGGCCTCTGCGCAAGGATGACACGCGTAAAACGAGGAATGGTCCAAGTTTTTTTTCTCCCGCTCTGGGAGTTAAGAAAAAAAAAGCGGAAAGTCTAGTAGTAGTGACCACATCATATACACTGAGTGCTGGTTTGGAGGCGGGGCTGTGTTACAAAAGCAGTCATCAGTAAGCGTGAGAAAACAGAATGAGAGAGTGAGCTACTGAAGGTTCAGAAGAGAGAGGCAGTGGACGATCGCGGTTTGTCTCCTCGCCCCGACGGCCTACTTCTTTAGGAGAATACGGGCGAAGTGGGTACAACCGAGTGCCGCATGCTGACCACATGGATTGCTGGTCGGTCCCCTAAGCTCTCACGAGTGGAAGTGGCATCGTTATTTCCAGCCTCAGACCATCGGGGGTACAAGCAGGGATGTACGCTGTTCATTTATCCAAGCATTCGGACATATGCGTTATGCACATGCATACAATGTCATATAAATGCAGACAGACAGGCCGTACGCAGACTAAGTGCATACTTATACATAGATCCTCGTTGCGCACATAATCAGTATCTACGTGAATAGAGTTGAAAATTCGCCCGCGCGTACACACACACACATACACAGAGAGAGAGAGAGAGAGAGAGAGAGAGAGAGAGAGAGAGAGAGAGAGAGAGAGAGAGAGAGAGAGAGNAAAAAAAAAAAAAAGAAAAGAGAGAGAGAGAGAGAGAGAGAGAGAGAGAGAGAGAGAGAGAGAGAGAGAGAGAGAGGCAAAAGGCAGGGAGAGGAAGGAGCGAAGGCAGGGAGGAGGAGGAAAAGAAGGGGCAGTTGTGCTTCGTTTTGCCTTGCCTGGTCGATGGTAGCCGCAACCGACAAACGAGCTTTCGTCATTCTCGTTGGTCACAATGTACAGCTGCCATTCACTGTAAAACCGATGGCCAGATCCTTGCGCAGAGGGAAGCAGGCTCCCATTCACTGTAAAACCGAAGACCAGATGCGTGTACCGAGGGAAGCAGGGTGGGTGACTACACATTGGAGCGAGCAGTTACTCCCTAAACTACAGCGCGTGAAGAGCGGCCCACCTCACGCAGACACATGTGGTGGGTGATATATTGATAATGTCATTCCCGCGGCTGGTTGACGAATTCAGCTCCACCATCTCTACTACCGACTAAGCGCAGTTTCCGGTAAACGATTTTGCAGAAACGAGAACGGGACGGCGCACCCGTGCGCGCACAATAGGAACCGAAAGAACTTTGGCGAAGCAGCAATGCTGTCAATCCCAGCCGCAGTCAATTGACTGCGGTCTCTAGCTACTCGTCCTGCGTATGTTCGACACTACCTCAGCGATATCCCGTGCCCTGTGTATGTTCGACAGCCTGCTCAGACTCCAGCAGGGGCAAGGAAAAGAACCCCCCCTTCTCACATCCGTCCATTACCATGAACTGACAACATCCATGGTTGCGTTGTGGTTAAAATATGACTGTCACCGAGACGGTGGTGCTGCTGGCGGCCAACTGTGGCTGGGCCAGAGGGCAACAATTGCCAAATACCGCCGTACCGCTTTGCCATGTCATTGAACAACAGGTAAGAAAACTCGATACCAAGGGCGGGTGGTGGTAAAATACTCCGAGGCCCGAGGCTCGTTCCGTCTACTACGGGGTTTAACTTAGCGGTATCAGCGTACTGGCGCGTTTTTTTTTTACCGCGGTGAAACAGGCACGACTGAAATTCGAGCCAGAATTCCGTCCCGCGCACTGAAATTCGAGCCAGAATTCCGTCCCGCTCTTTTTCACCACTGGCCGCGCCTCCACCGCCCTCCCTAACTCACTCCGGCGGGCATACACTAGGACTTTTTTACTTGTTGACGGAAGTAATTGCGGCCAGATGCATCCACGCCCGGCCGTAAATGTGGTCAGGTACATGTAAGATGGTGCGAGTGTGAGTGTACCTTCCTTACACTCGTCAGCACGCACCGCGTAGCGACAGCAGTTGACAAGTGGAAAAGGAGTTCCAGGAATGAATACTCTGTCTTCTCTCATGAGGAGCGGACGCGGATGAACGGGCGGGCCGACACCTGGAAGCCAGCGGCCGACAACGTGAAACTACCGCGCCAGCCAAAATGGTGGGGAGAAGGGATGGGAGAAACATGGAAGAAGGGGAGCGGAGGAGAGGAGGAGGGAGGAGGCGGCGGGGGGGAGGCGAGGGAAGCACTGAGGGACAACGATAGAGAGAAAATTACCATGGTCCCTGCGCAAGGATGACACGCATATGTCGAGAAATGGTCCATAAAAGGGAATTAAAAAGGGAGGGGGCGGGGACAGCGAGCTACCGGTAGGGCGGGCAAAAGCCAGGAGCTTAAAAATAGAGATCAGACACAGAGGCGGCTGGTGCGAAGAAATAAGGTCGGTAGGTCACTGGCTAGGTAGGCAGTAACAAGCAACAAGCAACAACATGGGGAAGGAAGGAGGCACGTCTACGGGGAAAGAGTGAAGAAGCATTGTCACGTGCTGGCTGTTCGACACTCGGGGTCTGGGAACAGACAAATGCAAGGTCGTGTCGGGACGACAGTGTGGCCGTCGTCCCAAAAAGGAAGGTACTGCGACGACAAGCAGCGAAGCTGATCTCGGTGACTGTGGCGCCTTCCTCGGGAATTGACGACAAAACGACGGCGGGTAGATCTCTTTGAAAAAAAGAGTAACACCTCAAGGCCTGTTACGATACAGAGAAGATTAGCATGGCCCCTGCGGAAGGATGTGACACTTTTACGACCAAATGTATACGCCCGCCCACACGACAGGCTCATTTGCCAAGGCACATGCTGGCGATGACACGCAGGAAATTCGAGCAACCTCGCAGAAGGGCAGTCTGACAGGCAGGCAGGGGAAGAACAGGGGCACCACAGCATGCAAGCAGTACGGCTGCCAGTCAGGCAGGCTGGCAGACAGACAGACAGACAGATAGGAGGGCGCGTAAGCGAAGCCGATGGCGAGGCAGGCAAGATGCAAGGCGGGCGGGCAGGCGGGTGGGCGGGNGGCGGGTGGGCGGGCGGGAGGGAGGGAGGGAGGGAGGGTGGCGCCGAATCATCAGCCTCAAGAAACTGAATTGAATGTAAAAAGGCGGGGATAGTAAAATGAATTGCCTCTGGTGTTTAAGGGGCGCCCTCGAACTCCGACATCACATCCTTGCCACCGTAGATTGTACAGATCCATCGCTAGCGCGTGGATTTTCTTTTCTCAATTTTTTTTATTTTTTGTTTATTTTTTTTTTTTTCTTCTTCGTTTCTTCTTTAGAATGCAACACCATAGCCCCCTCCACGATAGAGCTCTTCTTCTTCTTCTTGATAGTGCCCACGATGGGCTTCGGCGCGAGCAGCCGGCGGGAGGAGGGGGTGGGAGAGGGAAGACTGGAGACGCAACAGGAAAATAGGATACCGACAAAAAAGGAAAGCGAGAAATTGCGAAAGAAAAGAGGTACTTTTGCTGCCACTGGAATCGTGATGCAGCCAATCGAGGAACGAAAGTGCGGGCAGGGAAGTCGCTGACGCGCATGAAAGTGCGCCGAAAATGAAAAGCGGCGAAAAATGGGGTTAGCGCACTTTTCCTTGGCGATGCGCGGCGACGTGATCGGCGCGTAGAACTCAAGACGTGAATCTGAGATCTTTTGAATTATGAAACCTGTGGACAGTAGTCGTGAACATGGCGGGAAACATGGTCTGATTCGTCCACCGTAGGTCCCTCTGAGTGGACCTTGGGAAGTTCAGGTCAGGTGGCGGCAATCAACCTCGTGTGAGAGCGACCGCCTCGTTAGGATCTGGACAATACCTTTTTCTTGAAAAAGGAGACTACCCTAGCAAGGCGCTCGGGCAAGGATTACGCGCACAAATCGAAGAAACGGTCCAAAAACGAGACGTGACAATTGTCTGTTTCTAAATATACGTCGTACGAATCAAAGGTCCGGTTGCTAAAAATGTTTCGAGCACCCAGCTGCCTATCTCAGCTGGTAAGCGTCGCAAGTGGGATTCAGGAGGTCTTGGGTTCAATTCCCATTCTTGTCATCTGCCTTTTGTGGGCATGCTCGGCGCCCTCCACCTAGAGATAGACCACTGGATCCAGCACAGACACCTAGAATCCCTGCACCTCCCCTCCGGTTCCCTTCCCTGTGAACGTCAGCACCCTGCGTGGCATCTGCATTGAGCAGAGACTGCTGATGTTCGTAGGCAAGGGGACCAGAGGGGAGGCACAGGGATTGGTCCCCTGACATGGTCACTAATGCTACCGGTCCCGTTACCCACCTGACCAGAGGGGAGGCACAGGGATTGGTCCCCTGACATGGTCACTAATGCTACCGGTCCCGTTACCCACCTGCAGGTCAGGCGCTCCCTCATTTGAGGCATTGTGAACTCGGGCTGGCTGCTATGGGGTTCCTATGGGGTTCCCCGTAACACTGTATGTAGGAGTAGTGGTAGGTAGGTAGTGCAAGGTGGAATTGAGAGAAGAATCTAGCTTAGGGGCTTGTTAGACACTCCTTGGGGCGTCCTCGGGGCCAAAGGAAGTTTCCTTGGGGGTTTTGAAGGAAATTCCCGCCGTCGTTCCAGCAATATTTGGGGTGGTCTCCCAAGGAAGATTCCTTTCGGCCGTCAGAGGACATTTTCATAATATTATAGTCAGCTATGGTGTCGGTGCAAATACCCTTACAAGGGTATCCGCCCTGGTTTTGCAGATGACAGTAAATAAGTTTAGTTTAAAGTCTAAGTATACCACACGAGTCGCGGCGGTGTATGTAGTTTACGTTCACTGAATGGTTGACTAGAGTAGAGAGTGTGTGGGCGCGCAAGCTTGAGGCGCGCGTAATCTTTTAATTATTGATGATTGAGAAGCCGATGTGATCGCCGACCAGATTTTATTTCTGATTAAGTTAGGATCAAAAAGATTATGCATCTTGATTGGTACGTTTGTCTGTGACTTGTGCGTACGTGCGAAGGACGGCACCGACAATAGTGTGATTTTGAAAACGTCCCGTTGGATATGCGCGTTGCACAATGCCGGTTTATTTAGACTTT